CTGAAAGACAAATAATATTTACCACAATTGGCGATAAATAAGCAAACTTGATAATTAACACGGTCACCGTTAAGTCAACATACGAAAATACATAGTCAAATAAAACCATGTTCCAAATTCATTAAAAAATTATTCATATGATAAAAATAATAAAAGTTTGTCTTGTTACACTGAATTAATTTATTGAGTCCCATAAATCCGGACACCATAATTGCAACTCATTGTCCGCCAACCAACGATTCGTTCTAACTTGTGAGGTTGGAGAAATGATGAGTACATGAGAATACTTATATGACACGAATAATGGTGCAGTCCTGAATAAAAATATTAAATCATGCGACAAAAATATCATACCGTCATATCATATCTTTAGAAATCGGTAGGAACTCGATATTTATCATGTCTTTGGTACTGTATGACGATATCATACATATCATATCTTTAAATTTCATTAGCATAATAATTTAACAGTATGAAAAAAATAATTTACACGTGATAAAAATCAACGGCACCTCGTTATCATACCTCGCTTGATTAATCAAATTTTGAAAGAAAGAGAAAGCACGTTTTCAATATTTATTTTTTGCCTAATAATGCATTCGAGTGCATATGTATATGAGAATAAAGAGATAAATGCATATTATTTAAGTTCAAAAGGACAATTGAATTTTTGGTAAAATAGCGTTACATAGAGCCACGTGCCACCATGCAAATGTTACTATCAAGAATATTCTACTTCATCATTATCCCAACAAAAAAAAAAAAAAAAACCCACCTTATCTCTATCTAATTCTACATGTGGCTCCTACCCATTTCAAACTCAATATTTAATTTATCAAAATCAATTAATAATAATTTCTTTAAACTTCAATAATGTAGGCTTCGCTTATCCGAATTAACTTTTTCTTGAGCCTAATATACATGATTAAATACGAGCTATCCAACGAACCCCATATTGATATATTTTTCATCGCTTTATCAATATCTAATTTTTTGGCTCAATTAAAGTTGAATTCAATATTATTTCACTTTAATCCCTCAACTTTCCAAAATTACAAAAATATATCATATAGAAAAATAATTTTATTCTATAAAATCTTCGGGACATTACATTTATAGTCACCATCTCTCTAACTTTACAAGTAATATTATTTCTCATTATAACTTTCTCACCTATAGTTTTTTAAAAATAAAAATAATAATTTTTATTAGGGCACATATAGAAAGAACAGCTTGAGTCAAGATCCATTCATCGCCCAGTTTCTTCTCTACTCCACATTAACAAGGGCTAAACCATTTTCAGCCATAGCTTTACTATACACTAAGCATTACTCCCATCATCCAACCTCTTTTCTTTAGGATTATTTTTCTTTTTAAAGCAATCTTTAGCAAAATGACCTAATTTTCCACAGTAATAACATTTCTTGCATTTAACCTTATTTTTGGACTTATTCTTATCGTAAAATTTATTTTTATTTTCATTAAAAGACTTAGAGTGATAATTTGATTTACCAAAAACTTTTCCTTTAGCTAACAAATTATCTCCATTTTGACTATTACCGAAATAAGCTTTCATCTCTAGAGAGTTATTTCTTAGGGAATTTATTATAATATCAATGGTAAGTTCTTCCCTACTATATTCTAAAGCAACCTTGATGTATTTATGTTTGTTACTAATGAAGTAACAAGACTACAACCATCTGATCTTTTAAAAGTTTTTCATCACAGTTAGGGGTGGGCATGGTCCGATTCGGTTCGATTCTAAACAAAACCGAACAAAACTCGAAATTTTTGGATATTTAGTAAATGGAACCGTCGGTCTAAATTTAATCATGGAATCGCTCGAGTTCGGTTCCATTTGGTTCGGTTCTATTCGGTTTCGTACAATAATTAATTTTTTTATATTACAACGACACTACCTTAATTCAACTATAACATATTCAATTTTAACTCTTATAAAATAATGTACTCCAATCTCGTGATATCTTTTGCACATTTTTTTATTGAGTTATTCATAGACTTGACTATTAAAATTACACGAAGAAGAAGATAGCTAGTTCACAATAATAGAACGGTAGAAATGACATTACGGTAGAATAAAATATTTGAGTAAAATTTAGGTCACTTTGATTAAGTTGGGCTTGACTGAAAATTAGAAATAGTAAAATCATATTTTGGGTTTGGACTGAATTAATTAGTTAGCAATTTATTTAAAAAATAAAATAATTTGACTTATTTAAGATAAAAAAATTAGGAAGATTCGATTCATATTCGATTTTTCGATTTTCGATCTAGAATCGAGAACCGAACCAAACTCGTTGGTTCTCGATTCAAATACCATTTGGGTATTTAACTTAAGAAGAACCGTTTGGTTCGGTTCAGTTCGATTCGGGAGTTTTGTCTAACCTTAATCATTGTTGGCTAAGTTTTGTAAATCTATTCAAGTTTTCATCTAAATCAAATGAGGGATCCATTTTAAAAGAGAAGAATTGTTTCAATAGAAAACATTTATTGGAAGTGGTTTTAGTTACATATTTAGCATGAAGTTTAGTCCACAATTCAGAAGCAACTTTTGTTTCACAAATAGTTTTTATCATATTTTCAGATAAGTACAAGAGAATAGTGCTCCGATCAATTTCTTCAATTTCAGTTTTCTTTGCAAGAAGTAAGTCAGTACGCCAACTATCATCTAGTGCCCTAACACGTCTCATTTGCATTTGAATGGCCTTCATTTTTGACTCCACATAGTGAAATCACATTTTCCATCAAACTTATTAACTTCAAATTTAGCAGAAGCCATATTATAGAAAAGTATGACCCATAGTTTGAAGACAATTTTTCACGAATTTGCAAAGAACAATAAGAACACAGATTAGTGTCAATCACAAATCATAATCATACACAGTAAAATAAGATTTCACAAATTTAGCAAATTTCAAGCACACGTAGAGAACATGGAGACCAAAACTCAAAAGAAAACACAATAACAGAGAACACAATATTATGTTCAAAGATTCCTCCTTCAAGACTCTAGGTATGTACCCGTACATGATTTATCTCAGATTCCAAAGGCCTCGTATGAGCCTTCGGACAAAGATTAATCTTAAAGGGCTTATTGTGTACGATAAATCAAGAGAAAAATCAAGAACCCCTAATTTTTGAAAAGTAAACTTTACAAAAATTAAAGATATCACCCAACGAGTTTGTATAAACTCGTTTTCTTTCAGTTTTGCTGGACAACAATTCAAAAATTTACCGATCTATAACATATCAATCACTTTCTCCAAGATTCAGATATTTTGCTCCTCAGTAATGGCTTTGATACCATTGTAGGGCCAGGTTCACATGATATTAAAGTCAAGAAGTGAAGTAAACGATCTTACAGACAAAAATTAAAAATTGAACACAGACGATTTCTTTCTACTTAATCCCCGGAGGTTTGACGATCACATCCAACGCATACTTTTCCCGTTGAGCATCCAATAAATTAGATCATTTTCGATTGCTTTAAAGAACTCAAAATGGCAACAAATGTTTAACTAATATACAGAGATAGCATAGAGAACACTTATCTCTCAATAACAATAAGAGATCTACGAAGAATCACCAAGAAACTTCAGAAAAACCCCACCCTCGAAACCAACAACTAAAAATGAACACACTCATTCTCTCAAATATTTACTAAGAATATTACACATTAGAGGCTAAGTATTACAGATCTCAAATCACAAATCAGATCTTCAAAAGATGAAAGATCGAAAAATAAAACTGTAACCGAACGAGAGAGTTTTTCTCTCTTTCAAAACCAATCGTCAGAAGTAGAATGAAGTACAACTCTCACCATGTGCCAAGTGAAATGGCACACCCAAGATAAATCATAGAGCCTTCCAGAATCATCATCAACAGCAAAGATAGAGCCACATGTCTCAATCCAATAAAAACACTTTAATTAATAAAGTCTCATTTCACAAATGCGTTTACAAAACAAATTCTGGGAGCACACATAACTCAGTCCAGGGTTCAAATCCAACATCTCCCAGACAAACTGTATGTTTTTGGTGTGTTTTGCGTGTGTATGGACGACGCCTTGAAGGACCCAAAGGAGGAGAGAGTGGGTAGAGTGGAGAGGCTGATGGAAAATTACGCGTGAATTATTTATAAGGGCAAGATATGTGGGGACCAAACAGGGAAATATAGCCGTTGTAGGGGGTTGTTTTTTTCTCTCTCTTTCGTTATACGCGGTTGATTTTGGATTGTTTTTTCGTAATTACTGCCCTTTATCCTCATTTACAATATTTTGTTACTGTATTAATTATTAAATTATTCTTTAATTCTCATACTCATTTTCAATCACACATTTACACAATAAAATACTTTACACGTAAATTTCAAACTTTTCCTTATCTTTTAACCACATATTCTTAAAAAATAATCATTTAAAACATCATTTTTTTTTCTCAATGATGACTATCAAATGGGGACTTAATGTTATGTTATAACATTGTTAGAGCGTTTCCAATATAAAATGCTTTAAATTTTAGAGAGTCAAAGTTTAAAACATTTTGTATGAATTTGGCTTTACTTTATAATAATTGTATATAAACTGTTATAATTTTGAACATTTTAATCCTTCAATTATATCATTTGTTAAACATAAATAAGAAACCTAATTACAAAATCAAAAACAAAATAACAAAGTACAATTAAAATATGATAGGAATGTAATTACTCTTTATATTATTATAAAAGAATGTTGAAATTTACTTTAACCAATAAGTAATTACAAATTTAAATGGTCCAAAGAGGACCTTACTGAGCACAAGAAGATACATACCAAAAATGCATCCAATTTTACATGGGTAAACAACACAATATCAATATAATTCACAGTGAACCTTTAAATTCAAAAGAGTACATATGACTTTATAAACAAAGGGATGAAGTATTTAATGATTCAAATTGAACGAGTATTGAAAACTTCTACAAGTTCTAGACCCCGATCAAGATGTCGTCATACCTGCACAAAACAAAAACGAGGGTCATCAAAACTACAAACTACTCATCTTGTTCGTCGTATTCTGCAAATTATTTAACATCTCATTATTGAACGATATAAAGAATTCTTTACAAAAACGACGAATCTATACATTTCGCTGAATTCTACATCCACACTCACCGTTGTTCACTTCATCTTTAGCTTCATCACCAGATGTCCAAACAATATCTTTCAATCCAGTCGAGAGGTTATTGTAGAACTGCATGTAAAGAACAGACGACATGAGCTAACAATATTTTTCTTTTCAGAAACTCTGTCAATCATTGGACTTTTCCTTTACATTTTTCAGTAGACGGATTTATGTCCATCACCCAACACGCTGTATTATGGGTAACTTCTATAACAAAGTCGCGAAATTCATTTTCGCTCATCCCAACATTAACTTACTTATATCTTCAAGTACATGATTTATTTTCTAAAAGGTCCTATAGGTGTAAAACATAATTCCCAAACAGTGATCACTTATCAGTAAGTTGGCCTTGCAGTAAAGTTCAATGCAATACCTTGTGAAATTCCAAGGTATCTCCTCCGGCCTTACTGAGCTCGACCATATGAAGTGAAGGAGCCACCTCGAGGATCTGCATTAAGAATTTAATTGAAAACCCATTCAAAACCTTATTATAAACAGTCTAGAGAATACGAGGCTCTTGGTGATCTCAAAATGGAGGAGGTCGGGCTTGCCAAAAAGAGCTTCTTAGACATCATACCTCTGTTGCAATTGATAGATGACCTTTACGTCCCAACTTTTCCCCTTGAAGTTTCAACTGAAAAAGATGACCAAGAGTATAATTTAGAAGCGTTGAACTTGATTATAATCTGATAATTACACGAGCTAGTGTCTATAATAAGAACTAAGTCATGCTCTCAAAATAGAAAAGATGTATTTCTACAGATGACATTTTAAGGTTCGAATGAGAAAGAATCTTGGGTGATGGTAAAGAAAAGTTTATGTATTACCTTATAATTATTTTTCTTCACGTCAAACCCCAAAGGCAACACAGTTTGTTCAATTTTTGAGATAATCTCATTTGCAGGAAATTTGGATGTGAATCTCGTTTCTCGCTTAAAAAGCCCCTGTAGTCAAAGAAATGGAAGACATCTTATTGAGACCGTCAAGATTAAAAGATTTTAAAACTCTTCTGCGAAGTCAGATTTTAAGTTGAAACATACCATTTGCTTTTCAAAGAGAGAACTCAGATTGAGACCCTGAGATTTAGAGATAAGTTCAAAGGCATTCATGGTCACTGGCGTGGCCGCCGGCCTTTCCTCCCTCCTCTCCGCAACAAGGCTTGGAGAGTCCTGGACGCAACTAAAAATAGTTAATTTACACTAATTTAAAAATAAAAATCAAACATTGATCCTAAAGAACTTTAGACTGTAGATAAGGGGGCACGAGAATACTAACGGTAGATTCATTAAAGATGGCATTCACATCAACAAGACTAACATCCTCTTGTTCAAAAATAGGTGCCTGATATCCTTTCTTGAACCACTCATTCTCGAGAACCTTGGAAATTGTGATGCGCTGTTTCACATGACAAAACCAAGAAGGGCTTCACAAGTTATAATCTCCACATGAATAAGACCGTCAATTTTAGTGTAGGTGCTGTAAGACATTATCCTTTTTTCATCAAGAGAATCAAAAAGTTAAATTCCCTTCTTTTATCATTGGCATCATGGTAGTGGTGGTTTTTGTGGGGGGGGGGGGGGGGGGG